TAGGAGCCTTAGCTGTAGACAAACAAATTGTTTAGTAACTAGGAGCCTTAGCTGTAGACAAACAAATTGTTTAGTAACTAGGAGCCTTAGCTGTAGACAAACAAACTGTTCAGTAACTAGAGCCTTAGCTGTAGACAAACAAACTGTTTAGTAACTAGGAGTCTTAGCTTTGGACAAACAAACTGTTCAGTAATTAGGAGCCTTAGCTGTAGACAAACAAACTGTTCAGTAATTAGGAGCCTTAGCTGTAGACAAACAAATTGTTTAGTAACTAGGAGCCTTAGCTGTAGACAAACAAACTGTTTAATAACTAGAAGCCTTAGCTGTAAACAAACAAACTGTTCAGTAATTAGGAGCCTTAGCTGTAGACAAACAAACTGTTCAGTAATTAGGAGCCTTAGCTGTAGACAAACAAACTGTTTAGTAACTAGGAGCCTTAGCTGTAGACAAACAAACTGTTTAGTAACTAGGAGCCTCAGCTGTAGACAAATAAACTGTTCAGTAACTAGGAGCCTTAGCTGTAGACAAACAAACAGTTCAGTAACTAGAAGCCTTAGCTGTAGACAAACAAACTGTTCAGTAACTAGAAGCCTTAGCTGTAGACAAACAAACTGTTCAGTAACTAGAAGCCTTAGCTGTAGACAAACAAACTGTTTAGTAACTAGAAGCCTTAGCTGTAGACAAACAAACTCTTTAGTAACTAGAAGCCTTAGCTGTAGACAAGCAAGCTGTTCAGTAACTAAGAGCCTTAGCTGTAGACAAACAATGGTTTGTCCTCGATTGGTGCTGATATATTTAACTGAGTAAACAACGATTAAACAAACAAGTTCATCATGGTCTAACAATACACGCGTATGATGAATCTAGTTTGGTTCATCGATTTCACACACACTTTTCAGTACTTCTAAAATATTCATTGATAACGAGTGATTTAACCTGTTACTTATCTACATGAACATTGTCATGTGACAAATTCAACCACATAACCGGTAATAATTTGAGTTTGATAAAACGATGAGAACCTTATCCGATATCATGTCAATATCATGATATCAAAACAATTGTCCGCATGTTTAGAAGAAAATCTTGTTCAGCTTGCTCTACACGTCTACACCAATGGTTGAAATCCACTGTTTAAGTCATTCCCATTCTGTTGAACAAAAGTGTAAAGACTTCATTGTATGAGTATAGTTCAAGACTTCATTGTATGAGTATAGTTCAAGACTTCATTGGATGAGTATAGTTCAAGACTTCATTGTATGTGTATAGTTCAAGACTTCATTGTATGAGTATAGTTCAAGACTTCATTGTATGAGGTGGTACTTCTTCAGTGTGTATAGGATAGTAGCTGAGTTATAGAGAGTTTTTATTCTGGTGTGCTTGTAGCTGAGTTATAAAGAGTTTTTATTCTGGTGTGCTAGTAGCTGAGTTATAGAACGTTCTTGTTCTGGTATTAGGTATTAGTTGAGTTATAGAACGTTCTTGTTCTGGTATTAGGTATTAGCTGAGTTATAGAACGTTCTTGTTCTGGTACTGGTATTAGCTGAGTTATAGAACGTTCTTGTTCTGGTATTAGGTATTAGCTGAGTTATAGAACGTTCTTGTTCTGGTATTAGGTATTAGCTGAGTTATAGAACGTTCTTGTTCTGGTATTAGGTATTAGCTGAGTTACAGAACGTTCTTGGTCTGGTATTAGCTGAGTTATAAAAGTAACGAGATATTTTTCAGAGTCAGTCACACAGAGACTAATCACTACTAGAAATGAAAATTCGACGAACCGAGCTATAACACTACACTAATATACTAATACATTAACTCTACCACATAGAAACATGAATTCGGGAGTCATGACGAAGATGGTCTGACGAGAAAAGTCATTAACGTTTCCAAAGTAAACGTGCTTCCAAGAACGGTTTTAGGGCACAAGTTACATAATGAACAATATCTATATTTAAATGATTTAATTGTCTGCCACGGATGGTTTTTCTAACATCCAACCTTACTGTGTTTTCAGCACATGAATTTCAGTGTTAGCAGGGTATACTACTTGAACTATGGTCCACTATTAATCACCTTGTATGTAATGTTTTGTTTATCATATGCGATAAGTATTTCGACGAAAAAACATCAAGGATATGATGGATACGATCATAAACTTCAGAGATTAATTGGAGATAAAACGTCTGCTCTCTAGGTGGTTCGATAACAAGGTTTTTATAAGCTTTGTCTTTGAAAAGTGACGTGGGTAAATCCAGTGAGATTTCATGGTAAACATTTATCATTGGCTAAAGTCTATTGCATAGTTATCTTCATCAGTATTTCAGTTTGATTATCTCAGTGGAATCAATATAGATTACACATTCCTGCAAATTTAAACTTCATAAAAGTTGTTTTGGTTTTAATAACGGAATTTCCATAACTGAGCTACGCAGATTTCGAAAATAAAGATAGTTCTACGAGGAATTAAACTGGTTAGCACTTACAACTTTGTTAAACAAGAATCATTTTAGTCCTACGAGAAATTAGACTGTTAAAATCGTGCATATTATTATTGCATCTTTGTCTACAGGCGACCTGAAACCGTCGTCTTCGTAGCCTGGATGGCTTTTGGAAAGTCTGCAGGAAGTAGTTGCGAGCTTTTGGCATGACATTTTTTAAAACAATATTTACAGCCTCTGTATTACTACGTTACTAATGTTATCATCACTGTCTATAGATCTTCCGGTTTCTTCATATTTCTAGTTAGACAGTAATAATAGTAATTAGGTTTCGACTTTTTCTTGGTTATTTAACATATAACAACAGCAAGAAACTTGAAAAATGACAATAGATAATTTCCTTGCGTTAAAATCAAGGGGAAAAGTGGTTATTAGTTTGTGAAAACATCGAGTCCTGTTGAAAGCAGTTAGACGAAACAATCCTTTTTCAACTAACCTTTTTTTTCTCTATGTAAAGACATGACTAGAAAGTACAGTCTGAATTCTGTTAAAACTCGATGTTAGATACCTAAGAAATGGTGGTCTCTCCTTAGTTAATTGTTTTTAAGCCCAGAGGCGTTTAAATGGCCAGCTCAGCTTTCCATGAACAGAGCCGTTTATATGGTCAGCTTTACATGAACAGAGGCGTTTATATGGCCAGCTCAGCTTTCCATGAACAGAGGCGTTTATATGGCCAGCTTTCCATGAATAGAGGCGTTTAAATGGCCAGCTTTCCATGAATAGAGCCGTTTATATGGTCAGCTTTACATGAACAGAGGCGTTTATATGGCCAGCTCGGCTTTCCATGAACAGAGTCGTTTAAATGGCCAGCTTTCCATGAACAGAGTCGTTTATATAGCTAGCTTTCCATGAACAGAGCTGTTTATTTCGAGATGTTACTTTCAGCTTGTAAATTTTAGTCAGCTAAGAACTATTGTTTATTATTTTAGTAATGATAACTTCAAATTCTCGGTCGGAAGGACCTTTTTTGTAACAATAGCATTAACTGAGCCGGTGAGAAGTGTGGTTTCGCAATCTGTTGCTGTCCATTGTGACATAAAGAGTGATTTAACTTTCTCGATCCCGACATGGCGATGTGGTTAGGGCCCCGGCATGGCCAGGTGGTTAGGGCGCTCGACTCGAAATCTGCGGGTTCGAATCCCCATCACACCAAATATGCTCGCCCTTTCAGCTGTGTGTGTGTGGTGGGGGGGGGGTGTTATAATGTGACAGTCAATTTCACTATTCGTTTGTAAAAGAGTAGCCCAAGAGTTGGCGGTGGATGGTGATGACTAGCTGCCTTCCCTCTAGTCTTACACTGCTAAATTAGGGACGGCTAGCGCAGATAGCCCTCGTGTAGCTTTTTCGCGAAATTCGTAAAAAAACAAACCAATTAACTTTCTAAGAAGTTACCAGAAAATTCGTGACTCTGTTTTCGATGTCGGATGTTTAAATTAAAGATATTTATTTATTTTTGTTTTTCATTTCAGGTTCTGTCTAGGGTTACCTTTCATACTTCCACGACCCAGCGAGAGTTGCGAACCGAAGAAATGCGAAGAACCGCGGGAAAACGGATGCATAATCTGTGTAAATCATGAAAATGTTAATAGCTGCTCCTTAAAATGCAAAAAAGCTTCAGACGAAGCGATTGAAACGATCCTTCGGTGTGTTCAGAAAAATAACTCCTGCGAAATCACGGAGCTCAGCCTGGAAGGCAGAAATTCTGTAAAATCACTTGAGAAGTTTTGCGAAGTCGTGCCTGGTGTGAAAAAGTTACAATTAATTAATGTAGATGGAGCGAAAATCGGCACTGGTGTCAAAGAGTTAAACCTGTCAAATCTCAACTATTTATTTATTAGGGGCAGTCTATTAGATAGAATAAACGGTGATTTATTTGAAAACATGAGAAATTTGAAAATCCTAGATTTGCTGGACGGCAACATCTCCTTCGTCGACGACGACGCTTTTCGGCTGTTAAATAACTCACTAATGTCTCTGAGTTTAGAAGGAAACGCGCTGAAAGGAATCCCAGAAGCTGTGAACAACCTAGCAAACGTACGAACCATGTCATTAAAAAGTAACAAGATATTCGAACTTCGCTCCCAGGTGACCTTGCCAAACTTGAAACAACTCATATTGAGTCATAACAACATATGGAAAATACATTCTGTGGGCAATTTCGAAAAACTTGAAACTTTAAATCTTGAATTTAACAAAATCGTCTACGTCGATAAACGTATGCTATTCAACACCGGTCAGCTGAAGACGCTATATATAAATAACAACGAAATACATACACTTTCCCCAACCTTCTGCACCAAAACTTTAAATAAACTTTACAGTCAGAATAACCTTATAACTAACATTAAGTCTACATTTTCTGCACGCTGTTCAAACGTACAATTCTTAGACATTTCTAACAACTCTTTAGGAGAACTGAGAACATCAGCTCTTCCCTGCGGATCCCTAAAAACGTTAAAGTCGTCGCATAATTCCATATGTAATATTCAAGAAGGACTTTTTTCTAAGTGTTACAATCTCACCATTCTTGAGTTGCAGAAAAACAACATCAGTTATATTCCCAGAGAAAGCTTTCCGGAGAAACTACAGTTTACAAACTTGACAATTACAGGTAAGCCTTTTATTTCCCATATCTTTGTCGATTTATAATATTTTTGTTTTCACTCACATTATAAGATTTATTTAGTGAAAGAAAACCCAAACAGTAATATTTTCCTGTGAAAATATAATAACCCATGGGATCGTTATAAGATAATAAAGTCTCACTATTCGGCCTCACAAGAGTAGTTCATGAGTTGCCGGTAGGTGGCGTTTCCTAGCTACTACCCTCTAGATCAGGGGTCACCAAACTTTTTTCACAGCTGGCCAGATAACTGAGAGAATGACGAGCGCGGGCCGCATAACCATTTTGTTCAATATAATACAGTACATACACAAAAAAATAAAGATAACAAACAT